GGAGTTGGGCTCTAAGACTTATTTGCTTAGGTGAAAAAGGATATCTTTAGATTGATCGAGCTAGGGTACCCAGCTGAGTTCTGGTAGCACGGGTAGGTGCTCGAGGTGTTAAACAGTGATTTCGGACAACCCCAACATAGTTCTTAGCACGTTCGAGGACGAACGCATGTTTAAGTGGGAGAGAATGTAACGACCCGACCAGTCGTTTTGAGCTCTAGCGCGTCGCTCAGCAGTTTGGGGCCATGAGCAGCTTCACTTCAGGTATGTCTCTATGCTCGTTCGAGGACGAACGAATTTTTAAGTGTAGGAGGATATGACGACCAGGCCGGTCGTCTTAAGAATTAACGCCCCGATCTCCTATTAACTGCTTTCCCCAAGTTCATTTCTGCTATTTTGATTTGCCGGGATGTTCGGTTTTAAGTTTCGGAGAGTTTTGGGACACTTAGTCCCTAAATGAGAGCTTAAGTGTTGGAAAGTTGACCATAGTCGGAATAGTATGAAGACGGCCTCGAAATAGAAATCCGATGGTTCCGTTAGCTCCGTTAGGTGATTTCGGGGTTAGGAGCGTGATCAGAATATGTTTTGGAGGTCCGTAGCTAATTTAGGCTTGAAATGCCGAAGGTTGAATTTTTGAAGTTTCCGGTCCGATATTGAGATTTTGATCCGAGGGTCGGAATGGAATTCCGGAAGTTAGAGTATCTTCGTAGTGTTTAATGTGACGTGTGTGCAAAATTTCAGGTCATTCGGACGAGGTTTGATAGGCTTTTTGATCGAAAGTGTGTTTTTAGAGTTTTTGAAATCCTTAAGGTTGAATCCGATGAAAAATAGATGTTTTGATGTTGTTTTGAGTGTTCTGAAGGTTGGAACAAGTATGTTCGTAGGTTTGGTTAAGGTCCCGGGGGCCTCGGGTGTGTTTCGGATGCTCAACGGATCATTTTAGGAACTTGTTGAATTGCTGAACTGCTGGTATCTGGTTTCCTTCTCTGCGATCGCATCCTTCCCTCCGCGATCACGTAGTGCATTCTCTGAGGGGGCCTAAGTTGTTCTTCGCGATCGCATTACTTTACTCGTGATCGCGGAAGTCAGCCTCTTCCTCCTTCGCGTTCGCAATTACTCTTCCGCGTTCGCATAGTAGAAATGGGAGCAGGTGGTTCATTGTCCTTTTACTCTTCGTGTTCGCGTGGCTTCGACCGCGAATGCATAAGCTGGCCTTGTCCTCTTCTGCGATCGCAAGCCTTCTATTGCGTTCGCATAGGCCAGTTCAAGGACCCTTCACTTTTCCTCTTCTGCAATCGCACTCTTCATGTCGCGATCGCGTAGGCCATTTCTGGAGCCTTTCACTTTTACTCTTCCCGATCGCAAATGATTTCTTGCGATCGCAATGAACAACATCTGGGCAGAGAATTTAAAACCCAAAATCGAGGGTTTAGACCGTACTTGGGAGCTCGGGAGATCACGATATTTGAGGGGATTTTCACCTGGGCGACTTGGGTAAGTGATTCTTACTCGGTTTAGACTAATTTCCATGAATCTTCACTTAAATTCATCCTTTAATTTCAGAATTTTGTAGAAATTGGGGGAAAAGTTCTTAGACCTAGAGATTTAGTTTTGATTGGGTTTTTATCATCCGATTTGAGGGATTTTTGTATAAATAGACTCGTGTGGGTGTGAGGATTCTGAAAATATAAATTTCACCCGATTCCGAGACGTGGGCCCGAGGGGCGTTTTGGTCATTTTACATAATTTCGCGTACTAGCTTAGAATTTAATTGTAGAATCAGCCTCTTGAAGTATTATTTACATTATGAAATGGAATTGAATAGATTTGGGCCATTTGGAGTCGGATACTCGTGGCAAGAACGTGGTTTCTAGTTGATTTTGAGACGGTTCGAGGTAAGTGGCTTGTCTAACCTTGTGTGGGAGAATTTCCCCTTAGGATTGATATTATGGTAATTGAAATGCCTTGTACGTGAGGTGACGAGCGCGTATTTGTGCTAATTGTTGGAAATCCGATTTTTCATTAAAAATAGCCTTGAATTGTGTTCTTCCTTTTCTTGCTTACACTATTTGAAATTAAGCCTGCTGCTAGCTAGAAAAGCATGTCTGCTCGATTAAACTGCTTTATTTGCCTTAACTATCTTATTTGTATGATGTGAAACATGCTAGGTTAGGATTATCTGCTTTTACCTTGGTATGAAATTGATTGAATTGAGTTCTTATTGCTGTTGTGTATGTTTATATTTGGGACTACGGGACGGTTCCCCGGGAGCTCGCCTGCACATTTACTTTGGGACTACGGAGGGTGAACCGGGGTCGTCACGATGGTTCACGGAGGGTGAACCGGGGTCGTCACGATGGTTCACGGAGGGTGAACCGGGGTCGTGACACCAAGGTTTCAGATTAATTCCTTCTAGAATAGAACGAAATAACTATGTGATAGCGGCACTTCAAATCACAGAACTTCGACGAACTCAAGTGGCGGAGCAAATCACATAAAATGCTTACGTTTTTGCTTTGAAAAATAGTGCAGAATGCAGAAGATAGATGGGGGAGATTTTCAGATTCGGTGGTGAAAAATGAGGCTAAGCCCCTCTATTTATAGCCAACGAAATAAGCAGAAGTATTAGCAAAGAAAATATTAAATGACAGAAAAAAAATAAATTTGGTCCAAAAAATTATCAATCATATCAAGCCGAAGCCGAGCGACGACGGCAGCGCGAGGCTTGCTCTCTTCTCGAACTCTTTAAGAGTTAGAAGAAGTGCTTCTATATATAAGCACAAAACGATTCCTCTTCCTATCCAATGAGGGACAAAGTTCAATTATAAAAGGAACTAATTCAAAATTTCATTTCCCTCCATTTCTTTTCACACCATTTTTTCATTCACACCTTTTTTGTTATAATTGATAAAACCCAACAAGGGTAAGGTCAGCTTACACACTATCCTCCCCAGATTCTACTCGTGGGATTCCATTGTGTTCTTGTTGTATAAACTAGTTTGAACCATTCACAGATCTGTCAGGACGAAAAGAAGTACGTAAAAAGAAAATAAAGGTAAGTTGCGTTTTCTTTCTTTCCCCTCCTACTCCTACTTTCATGGCTAGTTAAATCTAGGGATGGCAATGGGGCGGTGTAGGTGCGGGGCAGGGCGGGTTTAAACATATGCAGGGCGGTACGGGTTTATACATATGCGGGTGCGGGGCGGGGCGGGGCGGGGCAGGTTAAACTAAAAAAAAAAAAATTCGCGGGTGCGGTGCGGGTGCGGGTGCGGGTGCGGGTGCGGGTGTGAGTTTAAATACTCATTTTTCACACAACTAAAAAGGAGTAAAAGATGTTTAATTTTAACAAATCCAATCCCATACACTATAAATTAATATTCTTCCATTATGACAAAACCAATGAGGTCACTTTGACGAATAATACAAATCTCTACCGTAACTATATGGAAACAGAGACTAAAAACTTGAACAAATAACAGAAAATGAGAAAATTACTCGGTACTTCTTACTGAAATAAATTATGATGGTAAATTATTTATTCTGACTATGCATGTGTACATGCTGATCCCGCATTCATTGATCGCAAAAATAAAATAAGACAAATTGAAAAGAAAAAAAAAATTGCGGGGCGGGACGGGGCGGGTGGACGCGGGTGTGGTGCGGGGCGGGTGGATGCGGGTTAAAGAACTATGCGGGGCGGGTGCGGGGCCTAGTTAAATCCACAAATGGCAGAAAAGGTAAACATAAAATGAAGAATTACCCAGACCTGAAAATTTGTTCATGACTTATACATTACTTTTATCTATTTAATTACCCATCTTTCTTGACAAATTAAACTTTGCGGTTTCCAAAAATAGTGGGTTGGTACCTGGAATTGAATGCCTTATTTTCAATGATACGATCACCAATGGTATTAATTCTTTGAGCACACTCTTGAGAAAAATGGCAAAAATAGTCTCTTATTATTAGGATAGGTTAAAAAGAATCTTTAAATATATTTCTGAGAAATTTAGTCCTTGTGTTTATGAAGACTGAACACTTTTGGTGTCTGATATGTTTTCTTGCACAAGCAAGTAGTGACTTATGTGGTTCTCACTAGTCAATTTTGAAAAATATAAGTAGGCGTTTGGACATGAATTCCATAAAAAATTTCAATTTGAAATTTCACTGAAATTTGAATTGAAGATGAAGTTGTGTTTGATTATAATTTTTGCAACATATTTGGATGTCTTTTTTTCAACATATTTTGCAACTAAAAACAAGCAACCTTCCCATTTTCATTTGAAAAACTGGCTCTCACCAGATTTTCAAATCTGAAAATGTATTTTCAGGTGAGATTGGAAAAATTGTAAGATTTTAATAACCATATACTGTTTTAAAAAAAAAATTAAAAAAAGGAAAATATTCTTATGTCCAAACGGGCTTTAAATGTATGTGTTTTAAGAGCCCGTTTGGACATAAGAAACTTTTCAATTTTTTTCAAAAAAAATTTACTTTTTTTTTGAAAGCATCATTTGTTCATACAATTTTCAATTTTCACTTGAAGATGTATTTTGGAAAATCTCGAAAATTTTAAAAACTCCAAAAAGCTGCTTTTCAAAATTTTCACTCACAAAACTTCAAAAACAACCCAAAATTATATTCATGTCTAAACACAAATCTAAATTTCAAATATCATTTTCACTTGAAAAAAATTTTCACCCTATTTTAAAACTTTACAATGCTTATGTCCAAACGCCCACTAAATATAATGTGAATATTGAGTTGTCCCACATCAGTTTTGGAATGTAAATTTGTTTTTTTATATGATCTTGAGCAATTTTTAACTCAATGAACTAACTTATGTGAATTTTTAGACCAACGCCCAACTATGATATTTTTTTTTTTTCTTAATTTAATAATGCAAAACCCATAACTAGTTTCCACCGTCCCTTCTCTTACTTTGAAGCAGTGGTCTGTGGACCTCCACTGTCACTGACACTGCTTGACCAAAAGCAGTAAAGAATCCAACGACCCACCCATCATATATAGTTTTCTCTATATAATGGTTTTGTGGGAATTGCATAACTAATACAAAGTCAGAGCTGTTTAATTTAGTCTTAATTAACACATAGTAAGTTAGATCATGTCTGGTCAGGGAAGAAGCAGTGCAATGAAGGTGGTGTTGGTGCTGTGTATTGTGGCGCTAATTCAGACAGAGATGGCTCAGGCTGCTGTGTACAACGTTGGTGGTTCTGGTGGCTGGACTTTCAATACTGTTTCTTGGCCTAGAGGCAAGCGCTTTAGGGCTGGTGATATTCTTGGTAAGTATTCCAAGTGGAAGAATCTGTATTTTAATATATTGTTGAAGGGGAGCGTTAGTTGTCTCTAGTCACCGTGGGAACTATAGGTCACGGGCACGGGCGGAGAGCATATAGCTTGCGGGTTCGGCCAAATCCAGTAACTTTGGTCCAAATCATGTATTTGTCTTAAAAATTTATTAAATATGTATAAATTGTTAATTTAAAACCAGTAACATAAACGAAGTAGAATACCGAACCCACAAGCTTTAAATCCTAACTCCTCCTCTGGTCACGGTTCGAACGGTGAAATCATCCATTGATGTATGTAGTAGGGTAGGCTGACTACATCACACCCCTTCGGAACCGATCCTTCTCCGAACCTTGCGTAAACACGAGATGTTTCGCTCTTACTAATTTTACTTATTATGGACTCTAATTAATTCTTGAATATATTGTTGGCTTTAAACTAGTCTTTAAACTCATTTTGTGCTCAATGGTGATGGCACTATCACCATATTTTCTCCTTTTTAACGCTTCTAATTTTCTGTGCATGATTGAAATTACGTCGTAGATCTACAACCGATAAGCTTAAGAATAGTTTACTTGTTTGTTAGTAAAACTTATTCTTACCTCATAAGAACTTAGGTCCAAGCTAGATCCATTTCTAATACAGGAATTGTTATCTTGAAAATGAAAAACTGCCAAAGTTTTGTTTAATGGGACCCAGCTTTACTGTTTGTAGTGTTGACCCTCTATTTCAACATTTCGAAAACAGAAGTCAATTTCGGGTTAAATTAACTGTGAACAAACTGTCGATTTCGGCACAATATAGGGGCTGGGTCAATTGATTTTGTGGCTTTTTGTAAATTTATTTTTAATTTTATGACCCTATTTTTTTTCTTACATACGAAAGATTTATTTTTACACATAAGAAATTTAAAAATGTTATTTTCTTAATTTTAAATGGTAAAAGGACATAATGTACAAATAACACGGTTAAGGGTCCATTGAGAGCCATGATATATGATTAATTACATATAAAGGCATTTATGTTGTCAAACCAACTTTGATTTTGTTGAAGATTTTGTGTCGGGTACACTTATTTCACTCACATGACACTGGCAAAAAAATAGTACAAGATGTTTTAATGTGAAATATTAAAAATGATACTACTAACTCACTATTTTCTTATACTACATGTGTTACCGTTTATTTTGTGTCCAAATTTCACTGAGTTTGTTACTATAGACAAGTGTAATTCGCCTGCGTTGTTGCCATGTTCACTGAGTTTGTTGTTGTTATTGTTGGTGTTGCAGCATTCAATTACCCGTCGGGTGCACATAACGTTGTGGCAGTGAACAAAGATGGATATAACAACTGCAGAACACCTCGAGGTTCAAAAGTATATACTAAAGGGGGTGACAAGATAAAGCTAGTTAAGGGACAAAACTACTTCATCTGCAATTTCGTTGGCCATTGCGAGTCTGGAATGAAGATTTCTGTCTTTGCTTCTTGATTTTGATCTATATATGCTCTAATCAGACTTCCTATATGATGTTGTCAACTACGTACTATGTTTTGTGTACTACTTACGTGAAATAATGGATATATATGTTTTGTTACTATTTTGTTGTTGTTGCTGCTTTTCCAAGACTCTTTTCATTATTATATATTTGTTGCTTTAATGTTGCGACTATGTTGGACAAAGTCGAGGATCTACCGGAAATAATTTCTCTACCTGCACAAGATAGGAGTAAGGCTACGTACACACTATCCTCCTCAAACCCTTACTTGTGTAATTACACGAGATTATTGTTGCTGTTGTTTATTAAGTGTTTCTATTGGAATATTTGTCTGGTAAAAATATATGAAGTAATCACAATTTCGAAGTTTAATATTATAAGTTCATATACCAACAACTTTATAGTCATTAATAGGAGAACACTATAAAAAAAAAAGTCAAGATAACGAACGCTTCAATTACCAAACAAGTGGTGGAAGCAGCACGCAAGTGCTTAATAAAATAATTACAATCTAGTGAATCAACGTTTGCTACCTCACCCTTCTCGATTGTTCAGGTGATTTTCTTTTTTAATTTCTTTTAGTTAGGTTCATATATAAATATATCCCTTAATTAAAAGTAGCTTTTTCTTTCTTTTTGGTATTTACTACTCCACTAGCTTGTTTCTCTAGTTGCAGGTCACTGTCCTTTTGTGGTGTTCAATGTATTTTCCGACATAATGATGAGGCAAAAGGGGGAACGATGTTTAAACTTTAAAGTGTCTAAATCAAACTTCAGTCCTAAATTAATCAAGTCGTGAAATTGATATTGAAATTTTGACAAAGAGATTATTTTCCCTTATAGCTTCAAAATTAATATACCTTGATGTCACGTCCTTAGTTGTTAACTAAGTACACGTGTAGCACTTGACAACTCGCTGATGATCTTGCACAGCTTGCTCACGTTCTTGCTATGCCAAGTCAGCCTTACTACACTCAAGATCGCTAAGAGAATGGTAGAATAAACACAAGAGAATTGTTAAAGGAAGCTTTGTATTAGAAAGAACTTGAATTGTTTGCTTGATGAATTACAAATGAATGCCCCCTTTATATACTAATCTCCTAGGGGCTAGTGTGTAAATATTGATTGTTACACAAGTGCTTAATATTTACAAGATAAGGGCTTTCTCTAGAATTCTCTACAAGCCTAGAAGATTCTCTACAAGCCTAGAAGATTTCAAGGACTTTCCTAGCAAATCCATATGGATCTAGGATCTTCCTAAGGAAATGTCCATACTTCTCTAGAATCTTCTCACAAATGCTAGCCTTCCTCTTATGTAAGCTTCCACATGACATTAATATATACCAAATGGCGCCTATGTGGCATGATGACGTGGCGGGTCATCACACTCTCCCCCACCTAATATTGCGACGACCGCGGCGCAATGCTGTTGCATAAACTCTCGGATCTTATCTTTGAATTGCCACAAGTCTTCATATCGTTCCCACGTGGCCTCCTCCGGTGATTGCCCTTTTCGATGGACGAGGAACATAGCGGTGGCTTTTTGCCCTTGTTTTTGCCTGGCCTGGTAATCTATAATAGCCTCAATCTCCCGATCATGTGAGGCGGTGATAGTCATTGGCGCTCGACTTGATTGGCCCCTACTCGGATCATCCTTATCTTCATGATATGGTTTAAGCATGCTGGCATGGAAGACATGGTAGATCTTAAGATACGATGGCATGTAAAGCTTGTAATCTTGCCTACCTTGGCGACGATCTTAAATGGCCCCTCATACTTGCGAATCAGATTCTGATGCATGCCCCGTAGTGCCTTGAACTGTCTTGGGTTAAACTTCACCATGACCATGTCCCCAACTCGATAGTCCGTGGGACGGCGCTTACGGTTCGCAAACTTCATCTTCTTAGCTGCCTTATCCAAGTAGGACTTAGCAGTGTTAAGCTGCTCCTCCCATCCTTTGGCCATATGATAAGCCCTCAAACTCTTTCCCTCGAACGCAGCTGGTAATGAATGTGGAGTTTGTGGCTGTTGGCCTGTGGCTAGCTCAAATGGTGTCCGCCCCGTGGACTCACTCCGCTGCAAGTTATAAGAGAATTGGGCGATGTCTAGGAGCCTTTCCCAATCTTTCTGATGCGCGCTTACATAATGCCTCAAGTAGCATTCTAGTAAGGCATTGACCCGTTCCGTTTGTCCGTCTGTCTGTGGGTGGAAACTAGTGGAAAAGTCCAGTTCCGTGCCAAGTATGTCGAATAACTCTCTCCAAAAGTTTCCAGTAAAACGGGGGTCTCGATCACTGATAATATGCCTTGGTAAGTGATCGCTGCCAACTCCGCACTACTAAAAAGTAGCAAGAGAGGGTCGCAATAGCTTTTACCCGATTTGTGGGTCGGGATCGAATCCACAGAGAGTTAGGATTGGAGTCGAGTATCTATCTAGCTTAGGATCGCGTGTGTGTTCTTAATTACACTTCTCATAATTTTTGGGGTTTTCTTTATATTCTGCTATGATCAAACTACAAATTATGATTGCAGCTGAATCAAACTAAGAGTAACTTGCTACAAGTTGTATCTACTGGTTTAAAATGGCACTAGGGTAGTGACCTTTACCTAGGTGGCTAATTGACGGTTAATTACATCTAAGGCACGTTTGACATGATTGGGGAAGTATGTTCTAACCGTTTCTCAATACTACCCACTCTACACCTCTCGGTAGAAAGAGTGGTTTTGCCCAATTGACTCTCTCGAGAACAATTGGGTATGCATATTTGCCCGAGCAACTAGGGTTCAATTCGAGTAATTACTCTCTCGAGGTTTAACCCTTTAATTGGGACTATCAAATCTCTTGAGTCCATCCCAATTCCTTGTTGAGTCAATTTTTGGGGACTTAGGCTCTCTTTCTCAAGAAGAGCCCAAGTCAAGTTACCACAAACTAGTGTTTGCAACCACTAATTCATAAATTGAACCATAAAATTGAACCAAATAACAAACACCCATAATCAATCTAACCTTAAATTACAACACTCATCAATTGCCCACACTAGGGTTGAGCCACAACCCTAGCTAATGGGTTTAGCTACTCATGCTTGAAGATAAAATCAGAGAAATAGATGAAGAGAAAGACATAATATTAAATTACTGAAGTAAATATAATGATTCAATTGCTAAAACTACGTTAAAGTGCCCAAAATGGCTACAAAATGGCTTCTTACAAGCGCAACTGCTGTTCTCTAATATCTGATGCCCTAAAAATGGAAAAATGCTCTATTTATACTAAGCTGGAAAAACTGGACAAATATGCCCCTGCGGGGTCAGTGCGGACCGCACAAAATGGTGTGCGGCCGCACTAGGCTCTTGACTCTGAAAAATCAACTCTCTGAACCCAGGCTCCGCGGAGCGTACAGAATGGACTGCGGCCGCGGAGGCAACTAGCGCAGTCCGCACAAACACGACCGTAGACCGCACAGGCTTGATCCTTAACACTTGGCATCTCTCTGAAGTTTGCTTCCGCGGACCGCACAAAATGATAGTGCGGTCGCGGTGCCTCAGTGCGGACCGCATAAACCTTCTGCGGCCGCACTGTCTTGATGCCTGAAAATCTAACTCTATGAATCTCCCTAGTGCGGACCGCACAAAGTGTACTGCGGCCGCACTAGGTCTGTTTCTCCTGAGTTTTGTCTTGTCTTTGGTACTTGTGCAGGTTTTACTCCTTTTGAGCCGATCTTTGACATCTCGTCACTTTGTTGCTCAAACCTGCAATCAAGCACAACTTATGAGCCTTTCGGGACTATTTTGTAAGAATTTATACTCAAAGCGTAAGCAAGAAGGAGCATGAAACACCTCAAAATCCCTAGTTATCAACTCCCCCAAACTTAAGCTTTTGCTTGTCCTCAAGCAAACAAAATAAGACCCACCCCTTTTAGAGTAACCTCAACTAGCATCAATTGGGACTAACAATTGCCCTCGACACACATGAGTCATTGAGAGTATTTAACCTTTGAAAAACCATGGATCAAGTGCGACACAAGAGCATCAAGAGTTGACTCAACACATCAAAGAACTCTTTCAATTACTTTGGTAATTGTGGAACCCAAACTCACATATCCTCAACTCTCCCTAAGCAAACCTCACCTTTAGAATAGTGGCACACAAAATGAGGTTGATGGGAATTCACTCATCTCTCTCAAGGAAAGGTCACAAGTCCGGCTCTAGGTACCATATGCTTGCCCCTTATGTAAGTATCCACTAATGTAAGCTTCATTCAACTCAAGATCATATAGGGCTTTTGTGAAGTCATTGTGAAGGCTTTTGGTTTAGGGTAGGTCATGTTTTTTGTTCAAGTGGGTTCCATCTTCCCTTAAGCACTTCTTTTGATTCATTTGGCACAATTCACTTGACTCTTTGAGTCATTTCACTTCTTTCTAATGGGTTAGAGAGACACATTGTCACTCTTTCTTATGCATTTCAGACCTTTTCCCCTTTTTCAACTTTCCACACCTTTCTTTCTTTTTCATTGCTTTTCTTGAATCCCTTTTTATTCTTTTTCACATTGAACTTTCTTTTTGTCTTTTTGCTTTTCTTTCTTTTTCATTGCCTTTCCTTTTCTTCACTTTTGTGCCTTTTTACCACTTTGTTACAATCCTCGTCTCTCCCNTGGGGTTTTACTTTATATTCTGCTATGATACAAACTACTAAATTATGATTGCAGCTGAATCAAACTAGAGTAACTGCTACAAGTTGTATCTACGTACGGTTTAAAATGGCTACGTAGGGTAGTACGACCTTTACCTAGGTGGCTAATTGACGGTTAATTACATCTAAGGCACGTTTGACATGATTGGGGAAGTATGTTCTAACCGTTTCTCAATACTACCCACTCTACACCTCTCGGTAGAAAGAGTGGTTTTGCCCAATTGACTCTCTCGAGAACAATTGGGTATGCATATTTGCCCGAGCAACTAGGGTTCAATTCGAGTAATTACTCTCTCGAGGTTTAACCCTTTAATTGGGACTATCAAATCTCTTGAGTCCATCCCAATTCCTTGTTGAGTCAATTTTTGGGGACTTAGGCTCTCTTTCTCAAGAAGAGCCCAAGTCAAGTTACCACAAA